AAGTTTAGCATTAATACAGCATTTGAAGTATGTATTAGTGTTTAATCACTAAAGTGTGTTAAGGCTAATGAATGCTATTTATTCTAAAGTGTTATCCAAACTGTAACCTTATAAATATCTATAGCGTTAGAGTTTATACCAGAAGACTATTAACTCCAGGTCCACTTTTTACATTTATTAATGTTTACTTGGTTTGGTGTAGTTTGCTAGTGTTGTCATGGAGATAGCTCAGTTGTCATTTTAGATCATATGATAAAAACGGAGAATATGCATCTCCACCACAATAGAAGACACTGTTAATAAATGCAGAGATGAGGTTGAAAGCTCCAGAGAAAGCTAGAAGGTGGACCTTGACTAAAGATAAGCCGTTCACACATATAAATATGTGTTTATAATATTTAAAAATGTATTACCAAGAGGCAGAAATATGACAATCTGCAAAATATGGAATGTTATTCTGCTGTAAATATTTTACTGTCTAAATAACTGTACAGTCTCTTATCACTGGAAGCGGAGGGAAAGGATTTACACCACTGGGCTCTGAAAGCTCCTTTGCTAATATTATAGCTCCACAACACACACGCTTTACAAAAGCAGCAGCACGACATCCTGCAAGGGAAAAGAAAAACCTTGAATGGCACTGACCTGTCATATTTACCCAGGGTGACTCGTGCATGGCTCACTCACAGCTATAGAGGGCCGGCACACCTCAGGGCACAGGTCGGGTGTTTGTGTTGCTCCTGATGCAGAACAAATGAGACTTTTTATACATTTTTTTGTTGCTATTGAAGATTGGAACACCGTGTGTTCAGTAGCCTTGTGGTCAGTCAAAAAAGTAAACAGACATATGCCTTTTAAAATACAAAAGATACAAAAGTGTGTTGGAACGTCTGCTTTACAGGATTTTGTCTACATGATTAAGATTGTTAAGTGGAGTTCACGCAGCTTCAGTGTTAAACAACCCCTGGGAGGTCAAACTCTTGTTTGAAAAGAGGGTGGGGTGTCTACTCCACAATGTAAACACTTCAAATTGAAAATCAGTCTATTAGCAGCGTTTCTGATTAGTTGATGAACAAAAGCAATCAAAGGCCGCCGTGGTCTCTTGATGACTATATATCAATGTCATTTTGCTCAGGGCCTGGTAGTGATTGGCATGTCATGTGTCCTGTTTACAATAAGCTGAGGAGCCCACATACCAAGTCAACAGATGACTCTGAAAGGCTGTTAGTCATCCAGTAGATCGTGAAAATAATCATAAAAGCTGCTGTAGTCATCATCATGTGGCCACGCCGTTTTACCTCACAGAGAGGATATTCAAGCTCTTGAACATTAGTTGTCTCTTTGTTGGCGATTGTTGTCTGCAGGGGCTTATATGAAAGCTGCTTTTTGTATATTTATATACACGATTATATTTGACTGTCTTTAAGTTTGGGATTTGGTGCCATCATGAGGGCACGTCCGGTATAGAAGGAATCCAAAGTGCTTTTTATCCAGTATTTAGTGATTGTTTTAGCGAGCAGTGCACTGAGTGTGTGCTGCAGCTTAGAAAAAGTTCTCATAGTGAAATATGATATCTTTCGATTTGTTTTGTTGTATCAGAGTTTGTGGAGAAAGTGTCTGCATGAGACTTTTCCTAAGGTTGCGTGAGTCTTTATATGATTCGACAGGTGAGTATGCACATTAATGAGTGAGTAAGGAATAACATCCCCTGATTCCAGTAACTAGTCTTTCAACGGCCAAAGCCATGCCTCTTGTGGTCGCTGACGAACTCAAAGAGTTTGAAAACGTTCTCCACCACTTTCTATAACCATGACATTTAACAGAAAAATAAGTGCATTCTTCCATGCTTCAGACTGCGAACTCTGCATTTTCCATTACAGTGATGAAATTACACAACTGGATGTGTGTGTTACCAATTGGCTATCCCTTACGTTTTCCCTTTTTAGGTTTTAGTTGATGTGCTTATTTTTTATGAATTTGCAATAAAAGCCACATGTTAATTAAAGAATAGGCACAAAGTGCAAGAGGTAAACAAATCATGAATTGTGGTCCCTGATTTAAAGTTCAGTTGGCAGATTTAAAAACAATACATTGATACTTCAGTCTTTGTGGAACCGACTCAATACTAGCACATGATGTAATAGCCAGATGAAAATGTCTGCTTTATTTATAGCATGTCTCTTTTTTTCCGTCTTACCTACCAATTGTTGGACGAATTACAAGCTAAATAAATTAAACAGGTTTATGCAATTGTGCATTTTTTGGATAATCTACAATTATTTTTGAAATATTTTAACTCCATTTACCTTAAAAAAAAGGGCAAAAATAAATAGTTGACATTAATAAGCTATTTTTTAAATATTATTTTTAGTAATGTATTATTATTATTATTATTATTATGGATTTGTCATATTCATTAGCCTCTAAAGTATTTTCATTTTTCCTCGCGTGTGTGAAACACATGGAACTAATGAAATTGTAGTATGTCAAGACGGAGAGTCAATACATCCTCTCTATCCAATAAAGCAAGATTCACTGCACAATAAAAATGAGTCATTATCATAATTAGAATAAATGGTAACTGGCCAAACTGGAGTGGGAGCTTGACAGCTGTAGGCTGTAATATGGGCGGACAGCACTGCGCACACACACATCTGCAGTAGCAGCAGCTGGGGATAATTACATTTCATGTGATTATATTGTTCACATGTCCGCAAGCTGTCAAACATTTTTGTTGTTTTTACGTTTTTTAGGATAGAAAATAAAAATAAATTGCTTAAAAACAATACAGTTTGTTCCGTGGATCAGGTAATGACCCAGACTGGCATCAAAAAACACACCGACAGCTTGAAAAAATGCACTCTAAATTCAGGCAGACTTCCATTTGTAAAAACATTCCCATATGGCATTTCACGCCACTTCCAAAAAAATACCATAAGAGTTTCTTTTGGCTCCACACTTCTTTCAGCGTCCAATCCATTCATTAATAAAACTTGCTTTCACTTTCCACCTCCTTCCTTACACTCTGATTGACTGCAGAAGCAGTTTGAATCCCCTCAGCCCTTTAGTGTGTTTGTAGGAACTCATCCAGGATGGTTAACATTGTTCACAGTGCTTCATTCATAGCGTACAGACTTGAGGGTAAGAAGTGTTTGCTCTAACTGCACGTGGTATGCTCATGTATTCATTGTGTTGCATGGATCCATATTGTGACATTGTCAGAAGTATGTGTGAATTATGTTGCCGTCCTGATATTCAAATCAAAATATTTAGTTATAGAAGTCTTCTGTGAATAAGTATTGGTGTGGCATGGGTTATCCTGGTTGAATAAAAAATTACATATTACATTACATTGCATTTTTTACATATTTGCAATTTGTCAGATTATGTGTGTGTTGGGCAACAACATGTAGTTAAAAAGGACTCAGAATGTCTATAAAAAAGTATATGTTCAGTGATGGAAAAGCCACAAGACAATAGAGATTCAGCTGTTTTTTCCTCCTCAGGAGATCACATACTAACGCTTACCCACAGAGGGCAGTATTGTAGCAGTAAGTTGTCTATAGGCCTATATAATATGTAAAACATTCTGTGTGGGGCCTTTCTTTAATCACACCTCCACTACACTGGCTGTCACGTAGTATCAAGCTACTGTATGTTAATGTGTGGCAGAGTGTTTGTGGTGGGATTGGGCGTTTTCATGTTTTTCCCCAGACAATGAGTATTCTTGTACCCATATTGTACTTTATCTGTGAGAATGAAGCAGTACAGAGGTATGTTATAAAAAATACAATGTATTCCACACATACAGTAACAATTGTTGTGCCCTCATAAGGCTAAATTATCAAAGGAACTTGATGTATGCGGCTGGCAGGTTGTGTTTTAAATAGGCCTACTAGAGTTTGTATTTAAGTTTATAGCATTCCTTGGGGTTCAATGTAACCCTCACACGGCCCTGAGTTAATGTATAGCCATCAGCAGCTTGCAGAAACGTGCATGCTTCACCTGAAGGATGCTGCCAAAGATAGGTTACAGGCGTCTGTAGGAAAGAATAAGACCACTCACTCCTTTCGATTTCCAGGTACAATTCCAAAGTGTGATGGGGACATGTGATTAAATTATGCTGTATACATTGTGTCATCATAAGCATCAAACCGAAGTAGTGATTGTTTTACCTTACTGTATCCAATGGTTGTTTTCACTGAGTGAAAGCAAGAATGTTCTCTGTGAAAGGTAAAAAACGATATGTCTGATTCATGCTTCATTATGTTTCTTTGTACGAATAAAGAGCGACACTCAGAAATGACGCATATTACACATTGGGTTTATCAGCTTATAAATTATGATGTTTTGGTATCATAATTTATTTTAGTCTATTTTGTGTCACTGTTATTTTTGGCATTTCATTGTCATGCGTTTTGCCCGAAATATATTGATACAGGGAATTATGTGTTTGATACCTGTTTATGTATAATCAAATGTTTCACTTTCAGTTGAAAAGGAGTCTTTATAGTCAGGCCACTATTTACTTGTTACGTTTCATCACACAGGCCATACGATTGTTAAACACCTGAACTTTTGAAAGAACATCCATAACATGCACCTGTTTGCAACTCATATACATCAATATTCCAATTACTATAGACTATTCTGCACTGTTTCTATTATATTCTATTCTATTTTATTCTATTTAGGCTACTATTTTATCTGTTTTGTTGTGTTGCACTGTTGGAGGAGCCTGTGACCCAAGATGTTCCTTGTCATAACTGCACTGTATGCACACATGACAATAACAGCCTTGAAACTTGAAACTACTATTAAGAGTAGTATAAATAAATGCATACGAAATAAAAAAATATACCCTAATGCTAATAGCTGCGTGTCTTCTTAGCATACCAGGCAGCACCATGTGAGTTTTTACCTTTGTAATGAGTGATCCATCTTCTCGCCAATAGACGCTCTTCGGATGAGAGCGCGTCTGCAAAATGAATTCCATGGTGTCGTCAGTTCCGTAAAGCGTTGCTCCTGGCTTCATTAAAAAAAAGGGAAGAAGATAGAGGATTATTTACGAAGAGTCAGGAGACAGGCACAGTGAAAACAAGGCTTTTACTGGCTATATTAGTGAAATATTCCTAAACAAGAGCGCTGCATTGTTTGTGTTTTCCTCGGACTGATAAAAGACACACCAGTCTCCTGTAAGCCGCATGAACTGGGATGCACTGCTGTTAGCCTGTTATTAGCTTGCTGGCTAGCTTCACGAACTGCACTGTTTTTACCCCGGGACCAAGTAAGTCAATTCATAAATAAGGACGATATTTCATTGTGTCTGTGTTTTGGGATGTGGCATTAAAGCCATCGTTAACCAGCCTTTTGAACACTGGTTTGTTTTACCCGGCTTCCTCTTCATGTGAGAACTAGAAGCAGGCCTTTTTTTCTCTAGAAAGCATATTAATTTCCAGCCGGAAAACCTGCTTCAATATTTTTGCAGGTTCAAAACAAATAGCACTCAGTTTGTTTTGTTTTATCCCCAAATAAACCCCCACCGTTTGGTGCAGATTGAACCCACAGGGGAGGCCTGAATCTAGCGTTACCTGCTGGTGAGAGTACACCTGTGCTGCTGCACCTGTCATGGCTCCCAGGATGCTCGAATTGTGCGACTGATTTCAAATTTAAGACTCCACACTTTTACTTGCATAGCAATGTATAAGTCACGTTTTTTTTTCTTTAGTTATAAAGATAAATAATACAGAATACTGTCTCTGTTGTAGCAGCATTTTGGAACATGCCAATTCCTAATCAAAAAAACTGATAATTATTCATTCTCACTCCATTAAACATTGATTTAGCCTGGTTTTAGTGACATGTCTGAGAGAAATGTTTTTGAGGATTGAGGCATGTATTGTAACAAGCCTCGTCAAGTAGCTAGGACAGGGCGTATTTTAGACGAAATGTTATGCAAAGCAGCTGCTGGTTGCTCAGTCTATGAAGACCTTTAAGTCTGACATCCTAGCTGACTGCTTCCTACTGCAAGAGGGGAATCATGCATATGTTAATTCAGTCCGTCACGTTTTTCAACCCAAAGCCCTGACACGGTTTCTGTGAGATGTCTTAAATGAGTGTTTTCTGTGTTCATTTCATTTCATTTCAAACCTTTGTTTAATCAGATTGGTCCCTTGAGATCATAGATCTCTTTTTCAAGGGAGACCTGCAGCATATAGGTTCCACATGAAACATAAAACAATAAAGGACATCATACATTATATTTACAGGATACATTTACATAGTTATAGACATTTACAAGTGCCCGTAGTATCAACGAGCATTTCATTTAGCCTAGCTTTAAAAACATGCAGAGGAATGAGATTGCTCAGTTTCAATTCTTGCTGAAGATTGTTCCAAGCAAGTGGAGCTGCGCACATAAAAGCTGTCTAAGAAAGTCCTTGCTCTTGGCACATCTAACAAGACTACATCATGCGATCTCAGACAATAGCTGCTTGCAACTCTCTGTTATCAGAGAGCAGATACGGGAAGTTTACCCACAAAGCTTTATAAATAAACGTGTACCAATGACTGAGCCTCTTTACAGTAAGTGATGGCAAACCTGCCTTGGTATACGGGGTACAGCGATGTGTAAGTGCTTTACAATTTGTGACAAATCTCAGTGCGCTAGGCGGCATCTAACTTGTTCAGGCAATAGGCAGGTGCATTCATATACAACAAATCACCATAGTCCAGCACAGGTCAAAAGGTCACAGTGACTAGCCTTTTCCTGGCCTCAAGCGAGAAACAGGACTTGTTTCTGAAAAAGAAACCTAGTCTAACCCTCAGCTTTTTAAGCAGGTTATTGACATGAAGTTTAAAAGTAAGACAATCATCAAGCCAGATACCAAGGTATTTGTAACAGGTAACCACTTCAAGTACTTGTCCTTGCATAGTAACAATATCTAAAACAGGCTCTGGTGTCTTTTTAGCTTTTGAAAATAGCGTTACCTTGGTTTTATCAACATTTAAAAGAAGCTTAAGCTCAGAGAGCTGAGTCTGAATAATGTTAAAAACAGCCTGTAATTTAACACCAGCCTCCTTAATGGAGGGACCTGCACAGTACATAACGGTATCGTCCGCATAAAAATGTAAAGTAGCTTCATCCACATTTTCACCTAAACTGTTGATATATATGGAGAATAAAAGTGGACCTAAAACAGAACCTTGAGGAACACCATTAGCAATGTTTAACCACTCAGAAGACAGCCCATCAAAGTGAACACATTGGGACCTTTCAGAGAGGTAGTTCACAAACCACCCCACTGCATGGCTGGATATGCCAGTACTGAGTAGCCTCTGCTTTAAGATGCGATGATCGACGGTATCAAACGCTTTGGACAGGTGAATAAATAGAGCTGCACAACTCTGCTTATTATCTAAAATACTCGTAATGTCATTCACCACTTTCATTGTCGCAGTGATGGTGCTATGTTGCTTTCTGAAGCCTGACTGATGTTTAGACCTTTACTAGTTCACTCACTAGGCGTTCGAGCACCCTCGCCAGAACTGACAATTTAGAGATTGGCCTATAGTTATTTAAAATAGTTGCCTCCCCTCCTTTTAGTAAAGGCAAGACATAAGCTGACTTCCATACTTTTGGCATTGTGTTTGAG